GGGTGCAGTGCTTAAAGACCTTGGCCTGCATTTAAACACAATCGGGGCTGACAAAATTACAATCTGTCAGCTGCAGAAGGCCACCTTACTGGGATCTGCACACATTATTCACCGATACATCACACAATCCTAGACACTTGGGAAGTGTCCAACATGTGATCCAATACAATAGCAAGCAGAATGTCTGCTGTGGAGTCATCTTGTTGTGTTTCAAATAATAATAATAATAATAATAATAATAATAATAATAATAATAATAGTCCTGAAACTGTTCGTCAGTGATTACCACCTTGACAGCAAACTGAGTATGTTGGTCACCCAGTAGCAGTCTTATATCATTTATTTCCAAAAGTGCTTAGTTGCAGAGCTTATTTCTGACAGCTGAGTGTGGCTCAGGCTTCAGAAGTGTTAACCTTATGAAGGAGGAGGCCACGTTCTTTGACCAGAAGTTCCTGGATTCTGGTTAATGTTTGAACACAGAGTATAGTGTTGCTATTGATTGTATGATAAATGCCTGTTTCCTAAGCATTCCATGGCTCAGTAGCAAAACCATGGCTACAGAAGGGCCTGCAAGTGGCACATTTTTGTTTCTACAGGAAATGTTCGTTCACAGCAAGACTTCCAGTCGGACTGGGCTTATTCTACTACATTCCACATTAGCAAATGGTTCTATTTGTTTTGAATCTCATAAATTCTGACTCCCATAAAACCTATGCCCTGCTGAATTTAATGGATGTATTCCCAAGACATAGGATTGGGGCATAAATCATGAAACCCTATTTATTTAAATATGATATGTATGGAATATTTATTTTTATTTGAAAACTTGGAAAGGCTATGTATAAAAAGTATCAACGTGGATGGAAGACCCTCTATTTATCATCAGATCTACTTTTGCTTTGTTGTTGCTTACTGCTTTTAAGTTTTCAACTCAAGCTTGCCAGGAACCTCCTTGTTGTACCTTTAAAGCCATTCTCTGTTCATTAAGAGCGCCAACAGAGTGACCTTGGAGGATGTCGAGCCAGAGCAACAGTGACACCAAACCCCCATGTTTACCCCGGAACAGGCTGGTGAAGCTCCCTGCCCAGGCCAATGGGCTTGGCTCCGCCAGCATCACCAAAGGGACCCCCGCCATGAAGAACCACCTGTGCCTGCTGACCATCATGGGCCCAGCCTTAGCCAACCATGCTGAGCTGGCCCTCCCTGGCCTGGCCTCACCCTCGCCCTTGTCTTTGTCCACCCTGGCTGGGGTGCTGTCCCCATCCAGTGCTACCTTGGTGGGGCTGGGCTCCACCGTTTAGGTGCCCCCAGCCAATGGAGACATGCCCCTCTCCTCTTTTGAGGCTGAGAGGCCTCTGGCAGTGGACGAGAAGATCCTCAACCGCCTCTTTGTGTACTTTTCAGCCTGTGAGAAGTGTGTACTGGCCCAGGTGTGCAAGGCATGGCGGAGGGTCTTGTACCAGCCCAAGTTCTGGGTGGGCCTGACGCCAGTCCTGCACACCAAAGAGCTCTACAACCTTCTGCCCAGTGGTGACAAGGAGTTTGTCAATCTCCAGGGTTTTGCCATCCGGGGCTTTGATGGCTTCTGCCTGGTGGGGGTCTCAGACTTGGACATTTGCAAGTTCATCGATAACTATCCCCTGTCCAAAAAGGAGGTGAAGTCCATGAACCTTAAAAGATCAACCATCACAGATGCGGGCCTCAAGGTGATGATGGAGCAGATGCAAGGAGTCATGTGGCTGGAGGTGTCCGGCTGCAACGACTTCACCGAGGTAGGCCTCTGGTCGAGCCTGAATGCCCGCATCACCTCCCTGAGTGTCAGCAACTGCATCAATGTGGCTGATGCTGCCCCACCTGACCGAGCTAAACCTGCAGGCCTACCACGTGACGGAAGCAGCCCTAGCGTACTTCACGGCCAAGCAGGGCTACACTACTCACACCCTCCGCCTCAACTCCTGCTGGGAGATCACCATCCACGGGGTGGTCAACATGGTCCACAGCCTGCCCAACCTGGGCACCCTCAGCCTCTCAGGCTGCTCCAAAGTCACTGACGATGGGGTGGAGCTGGTGGCTAAAAACCTCCGCAAGCTCTGCAGCCTGGACCTCTCCTGGTGCCAGCGCATCATTGACAAAAAATGTATAAAATGATAAATTGGGCGGGGGGGGGGAGGGTGCCATTTACAGAGTTCGCTCTTGTTCGCAAATGTTAAAATAATAATGGGGGCATTATATAAGTGGGAAGAATTCTAGCATAACCTCTTCTTTCCTAGGCTAGTTTTCATAGACTTTTAAAAGTTTAACATGAAAGGGCATTAAACAAATTGATTCCTGTTAAGAGTCTTAAAAGTGAAGTCTATTCCGCCACTTCAGCAGCTTGTTGCTTCCCTGACCTTTCAATCTGCTAAATGTATCGACTAGGATAGATAGATACGTTTTATTGATTGGCCTATTGGCCGTATCAAAACATTTAACACATAACACAATTAACACATAGTCATACATAGTCATACATACAACATACAACCCTCGGTATAGAAGAAGTTAAAATAAACAAGCTGTTAACAAGACCTCGTTCAGGTCAAATGTCTGCGTCACCTCCACAGTTTACCCCAATTGATTCTAAATGTGCAATTCTCAGCTGTGTTGCTTTGAATAGAAAAAGGGCTGTTTTGTGTGTTATTTTAGGGTTCTGGCCGGCCAGCAAAAATGAGGTTTTAATATATGGGTCCCAGTGTATTTTTTGAATAATGTATGGTCCAAGGCAATGGTCTCTCTCTTTCTTATACAGCTCACAGTTGAACAATACATGTGTGATATCCTCCACCTCTGGTGCTCCACAAATACAAAATCGTTCGTTATATGGGACTTGATTAAACCTTCCGTGCTTGTCCATTGTATCCAGCTGTTCAAAACGAGCTCTGGTAAATACCCTCCTAAGGTGTTTAGGCATTTCTGTTTTTAGATATTGAGCTGTTTGGAAGGTATGTTTAAAGCGGCCTAACCATTTCAGTGAGCCAGCTTTACTGAGGGTAGCGATGTCTTTTTGGCCTTCTATATCCAATACTCGTTGAGCAACTATTTTTGGGTCTAACTCTTCTAAGAGATTCGGATATCGAGTCAGAAGTCCACAGCTCCTAATGTATTTTGTCAGGAGAACTAACCAAGAGGACTGATGTTGATTTTCTATCTGCTCTAACAGGCACAATTTTGGGAGTCTATCATTTTCCATGGCCATCAGTTTTGCCCAGTAGTTGTAGGCCCTGATTTTGGATAAGCCATCCACTGTGTGTACTCCCAGTTCCGCTCTTACTGCGGCAGCTGGGGTCGTCCTGTCCACTCCTAGGAAACTTCGCAGGTGCTGTGATTGTGATTGCTCTAATAATGGTACCTGGTTTAGACCCCAAACTTCAGCTCCGTACAAGAGCATGGGAGTAACCTTTGCTTTATATACTATATCGACTAGGAGATTAAGCTGAAAACCCCCGTGTTCATTTTGGAGGTAACCTTGGAGGGATATTATGATGTGTGTGCCACCCTGTGTTTGAACTGCTTGGGAGCTGAAACAGCCTGGAAATAGTTTTAGGGCAGTGAGAACATGAAAAACTAGGACACCATGCCACCTAGTGACTAGAATGGGAAACCGAACCCTGGAAGCCTAGGTATACAGGATAACGATGTATGAACTGATTCCCGAAAAGCAATTTATTTCCAAAAGGATGCACTTGCAAATATTTTAAAATGTGAATGAAAGACAATGTCAAGCATTTTTGTAGGAAACAGATTGCTTGGAACCATTTCTTTCTGTGAGGGTACAGCACTGAAATAGGCTTCATCATCCTAAATCAGGGGTCCTCAAACACTATTATGTAACCTCTAGACCATAAGTGGTCTCCAAGTTTCCAGACCTCCCCAGATAACCCCCTGCCAGGTTTCTTGGTCAAAACTGAGAATTCTCTTCTAGGACAATGGGTAAGTCCTATCTACAAACTGTTCTAGCTTTGTGATTAGAAGGCCCCTTCAAGTAGCCTTCCAGGTTTGTCAGGCATAACTAGTGTGGCCATTGAAAGTGTTCTGGTACAGCTGTACCAGGAGCTCCAACTTTATTTGCTTTGTATTAAATGTTTGTTTGCAGTCCCAGGTTTCAGGGACTCTGCAGATAGGTGGCTTCTTTTGGTTGCAGTCATAGGGCAAGTCACCTGTCCATCATCATTAAGTTTTGGTCCCACCCCTTGCTCAGCGCAATTGGGAAGGGAAGGGAGCCATGTTTTAGTTTGTCTCCGCAAGGAAAGCTAATGTATAAGACATGTGCAAGCTTCCCCTGTACAAAAGCTTCAACCCCCAAGATTTTCCGGGGGAGAACAGTCTTAAGAGCAAACCAGAGAACTCCAGGGAAGCCTCCCAAAGCTTTGAGGACTTTCCGGGGGAAAACAGTCTTAAGAGTCTCCAAAGATTTCCAGGAAAACAGCCCTAAAGACCAAAGAACTCCAGCTGGAGAGTCTACTGCCTTACTGGTAGGTCCACTCAGCGTTCGAGATGCATTTCGACCCGGTAGCGGAGCCCACATCAGTAAGGGTTAGATTACAGTCAGCCTGGGAGAAGTTAAAAAGGGGATTTTCCTTTAAAGAAGAAGTTATTGAAGACAATTGCCTGTCCTTCGTGGGCAAGATTAGGAATTCACCAGATGCCTAAAAGCTTGGAATCATTTGCTTAACTTTACTGAAGACAAGAGAAGTTTCTGTTTGATTGTTCATTAATAAAAGACTTTGTTGTACTTCACAAGCCATCTAAAGACTATTTGTGGTGAAAACCCTCTGACAACTTCTCTTTAGGCCCCTGGCTTCCCACTGGGCAAAGGTTGCACATCCTGTTCTAAAGGAAATTCTTTACAGGCCCAGCGCGTGACAGAACAGAAAGTTCCCAGATCCTGGACTTAGTTCACCCCTCTTTACTTTTAGACTGGTTAAATACAGCCCCATTTGAACAATTGGAAAATGTCTTACCTGGTTGATAGACTGAAGGCCTTATGCTTGCAGTAGTGACAACTCTAGGTTTTGGAGCAGGAGCTGGGGCTTCACTGTAGCCCGAGTAAGGAGCTGGGCCATGGGAAACTGGTGCAGATGTATAAGTTTGGCCTGGACTTCTAAAAGCAAAGTAAAGCCATGAGCAAATAATTTGCATACCAGAAGATCAAGACTGATAAAACATCTGGAGAAAGATGGCTTCCAGAGCATGGTGTGAGATACTACCTGAAAGTTCTGCATGAAAGGACAGAGAGATTATATTCTGAAAATTCAGCATACTGAGTCTGTATTTGAGAACTTGTGGAATAAAAACTGAGTTACAAACATTCATTTAAATCGTAAAATGTTTACAACATTGAAATGCTTAGGGTTGATAAAATCAGCACACAAAGCTATGCCATTTAGAAAGTCTATACTGGGTTGTCATGAGTTTTTTGGGCTATATGGCCATGTTCCAGCAGCATTCTGTTCTAACGTTCTTTCTCCCACCCTGGACATTCCATAGATATGTGTGTGTGTGTGTGTGTGTGTGTGTATACTTCACTTGCCTTGCTGACAACAGAACCTCTGAAGATGCAGGCAAAATGTTAGGAGAGAATGCTACTGGAACATGACTATACAGCCCAAAAAATTCACAATAACCCAGTGAGTCTGGCCATGAAAGCCTTCGACAATACAACGTTTATATTTCCAATACAACACTATTTAAGTCACATAAACATAACATAAACTAGGTTGTATTTTGCTGGACGGATAAATGGTAATCAAAATGTTGGGTTGTTGTAGGTTTTCCGGGCTATATGGCCATGTTCTACAGGCATTTTCACCTGACATTTCGCCTGCATCTATGGCAAGCATCCTCAGAGGTAGTGAAGTCTGTTGGAAGTACAACCTCTGAGGATGCTTGCCATAGATGCAGGCGAAACATCAGGAGAAAATGCCTCTAGAACATGGCCATATAGCCCGGAAAACCTACAACAACCCAGTGATTCTGGCCATGAAAGCCTTCGACAATGTTATTAGATTGCAACTTCCATCAACCCGCATCACTGACTTCACTTGTTAGGGCTGAGGGGAGGTGCATTTCAACAACATCGGGAGAAACGTATTCCCTGAGTCCTGGCCCAGTGAATGTTGCCTATTACTCACTTAAAGTGGAGACAACATCAGGAGCAGATGAACATGATGCTAAGTAGTTATAAAGGTTTTCTGAAAACCTAATTCTGATTGAAATGTTTTTAAGAGGAGCAGTTTGGTCAATGAGGAAGAGGAAAGAAATTAAAATCTAGAGCAGAATTTGAACCACACAATGTTCTTCTTCCTGTCCGCATCCTTGACATTCTTCTTCCACTTGAGGAGCACTTGATGCATCACTCCTGGCCAAGCAAGACCCAATATTGCTGTGCTATTACTCAGTTCTCTACCAAAAGGTTGGGTGGGCCAACGTTCTCAGGTGGCAGATTTGAGGTGTCATGAAATTGTAAGCAGGGGCGGCTCAACCCATTACACAAAGTAAGCATTTGCAGTATAGTTGATTTTGCCCAGGGGCGCTCTTGGGGGGAAAATAGACCTTGACATATGCAAGTTGTAGTTGCTGGGATGTATAGTTCACCTACAATCAAAGAGCATTCTGAACTCCACCAATGATGGAATTGACCCAAATACGGCACATAGAGCTCCCATGACGAATAGAAAATATATATCAGTGATTGGTTGGGGCGGGGGTGTGTGCCAAAATACTGTTTGCTTATCATTGAAAATTACCTAGGGCCACCTCTGATTGTAAGCCAAAGAAAAATGACTATTATTCAAGTCACCCACTGCATGTATAATGGAACAAATACATTCAAGAATTGCTCAGTTAGCCCAGAAACATAACTGTGACATCTAACAAGAATGCAGTGTTTTGGGAACTTGGAAATATATAAAAGATTTCTAGAGCATTTTAGAACCACTAAGGAATCTACAGAAACTGTAGTATGGCCATAATTCCTTTTTGAAAGGTATAGGCAAGATGTTTCAACACTATCATTTCTGATTTATGGCCATCCTGAAGCAAATCTATCATGGTATTTTTTGGCAAGATTTGTTCAGAGGAGGGTTGTCATAAACTTTCTTCTGAGTCTGAGAAAGTGAGATCTGCGTAAGGCCAACCAGTGGGTTTCCGTGGCATTTGAACCCCGATCTCCCAGGCCCCTTTTACATTGCCATATAAAATCTAGATCAGTGTTTCTCAACCGGGGGATCAGGACCCCTGAGGGGGTCACAAGGGAGTTTCAGAGGGGTCACCAAAAACTGCAAGAAAACATGTATTTCTGATAGTCTTCAGAATCACTTTGGAAGAGAAGGCCGAAGATCTCTCTGCCTGTCCTTCTCTTTGTCTTTGGAAACAGACAGCAAATCCTCCCACCAAAAGTCCCCCTCCTCCTCTCTGGATGTAGATGAACTAACACTCCAAAACTCAAGGTCAATGCCCACCAAACCCTTCCAGTATTTTCTGTTCATCATGAGGGTTCTGTGTGGGAAGTTTGGCCCAATTCTATCGCTGGTGGGATTCAGAATGTTCTTTGATTGTAGGTGAACTATAAATCCCAGCAACTCCAACTCCCAAATGTCAAAGTGTATTTCCCCCAAACTCCACCAGTGTTCACATTGGGGCATATAGAGTATCCGTGCCAAGTTTGGTCCAGATTCATCATTGTTTGAGTCTACAAGGCTCTCTGGATGCAGGTGAACTACAATTCCAAAACTCAAGGTCAATGCTCACCAAACCCTTCCAGTATTTTTCATTGGTCGTGGGAGTCTGTGTGCCAAGTTTGGTCCAATTCCATCATTGGTGGAGTTAAAAATGCTCTTTGATTGTAGGTGAACTATAAATCCCAACAACTACAATTCCCAAATGGCATAATCAATTCTCCCTCCAACCCCACCAGTAATCAAATTTGGACATATTGGGTAATTTAAGGTAAAAGTTTTCCCCTGACATTAAGTCCAGTCATGTCCAACTCTGGGAGTTGGTGCTAAATTTCTAGGCCAAAGTGTCGGTGTTGTCCATAGACACCTCCAAGGTCATGTGGCTGACATGACGGCATGGAGCGCTGTTGTAGGGTATTTGTGCCAAATTTGTTCCAGTGAATGAAAATACATCCTGCATTTCAGATATTAACATTATGATTCATTACAGTAACACAATTACAATTAGAAAGTAGCAATAATAATAATTTTATGGTTGGGGGTCACCACAACGTGAGGCGCTGTATTAAGGGGTCGCGGCATTAGGAAGGTTGAGAACCACTGATCTAGATTATCTGCTGTGAACTGGATTATATGGCAGTGTAGACTCATATAATCCAGTTCAAAGCAGATAATGTGGATGAGCTGTTTTGATAATCTGGATTATATGGCAGTGTAGAAGAGGGGCCAGTCTAATAAATACTCAAACCATACTCTAACTGAAGTCAATATCCATAGCCTTGTTATTCTAGGACTATGTGTTACATTTTTTTTTGTTTTTCAAGGATCTTAGATCAAATCCCTGATATATCTGGATCTGAAATATTATTGTCAAAGGCTTTCATGGCCGGAATCACTGGGTTGTTGTAGGTTTTTTCGGGATATATGGCCATGTTCTAGAGGCATTCTCTCCTGACATTTCTCATGCATCTATGGCAAGCATCCTCAGAGGTTGTGAGGTCTGTTGGAACTAGGAAAATTGGGTTTATATATCCAATAGACCTCACAACCTCTGAGGACGCTAGCCATAGATGCAGGTGAAATGTCAGGAGAGAATGCCTCTAGAACATGGCCATATAGCCCAAAAAAACCCCTACAACAACCCACTGAAATATTGATTGTTAAAAGTTATTCTAGTGACAAAAACCATTTGCATTTTATGTTTCTTTGAGTTCGCAGTGTGACTTGCCAAACATTTGATTAAATTATTATTGTGGCAGCTGTTACAGAGATAAATGAATTCATTGTTTATTTAAAGACTGCTTCCCTCACATGGCAACACACACAATGAAATCAGTTTAATCAAAATGATTATATCTTTTCACAGCATACATTTTAATGCCTACTAATAATAAATTAGTTAATGAAGTAGACTAGATTTTCCAATATTTTTCTAAGTAAAAACCAATGTACTAAAAGAGTTCAGAAAAAATATTACTAAGTAAAACCCAAATGCTCCAATATTACAATTTAAAATAAGAATGTCTAACATTCCAAAGAAATGAGCAATACAGATTAGAATTTGTAAAACAACAAGAACAACAACAAGAAGAACAACAAAGAGGCTCCTGAAAAAAGAATAACCACACTGCGTCATTAATAAAAAGTATTAGCAAAGTTAGGTGAGTCAGAGGAAGTTGTCAGTCAATATTTCTGCTGCAGAAAGTTAAAATAGTTCAGGAAAATTGGGAAGAATATAGCCTAAAACTGATTATTTCAAAGAATAGCTCTGTCCCTCTTAAAAGCAACCATGATTACACCTGTAATAGGTATCAGCAAGAAAAGGAGCAGGTGCATTTGGAAATATTAGTCATCACGGGGACAAATCACGGCTAATAAGTCAATTGTTTAGATTAATATTTCATCAGCTGGCAAATAGAAAGCAATAAACTAGTTATTAGAATCTGCATACAGGAGCAATTTATACCTCTTTTTGGACTGGTAGGTGATTGAAGTGGAAGAATGTCGGTTGAAGCTAAAGGAGACAAAACGTGGTATTTTTTTCATGCTAAAGAAAATGCACCCGAAATCTGATGTAATCGGCTATGAAAGACATGAACTAAAAACATGAACAAGGTTTGTTAAACATAGCAATATGATCAGATATGACAGAGTACCTGAATTCTGTGATTTTCTTCCAAAGTTGAACTTTCATCTTATTCACAAAGTGAAAACTTAGTATATGTTGGTTAGGACGTTCGATGAAGCAGCACATTTACAGTCAGTGAGTTATTACTTCAAACAGTTGTGATTTTTAAAGGGTTCTGAGTACACATGTTGGGTAAATGTGTACATTCAATGTGTTTGGGTGTGAATATGAAGCAAAACAGATGAAGGAGTAAGTTTTAGGTTGAGATGAAGCTCCTTGTGCAGATATTGCTCTTCTCAATCTTGTATCTTCTTAGAATCCCATTATCAGTGGATTATAGAACCTGAAGACACAATTCCCTCCGAAGTGCTCCACCCTTTTAGTTGAAACAAGACCATCCATTCCCCTTGGTTAATCATTTTATAGATAGGGGTGGAAACAGGAGTGTTACCTGTAGGTCACATTTGCTCCTCAAGAATCCCCAGGGATCAAAACATTTTTGGAAACAGAAAGTAACAAATGGTGGATTTTGGATCATTTACAATTGAATAAAGACAATTATGGAGAATTTACCACCACCACCATCACCAAACATGTTTATACTTTAAATCAGGGGTCCTCAAACTTATTAAACAGAGGGCCAGGTCACAGTCCTTCAAACTGTTGGAGGGCCGGATTATAATTTGAAATAAACATGAATGAATTCCTATGCACGCTGCACATATCTTATTTGTAGTGCAAAAAACACTTAAAAACAATACAACAATCAAAATGCAGAACTGTTTTAACAAATATAAACTTGTCAGGTTTTACAATGTATTGTAATGTAATATAGCTGAGTCATGCACTGCTAATAGGCTTCTATTGGAAATGCTGAGTCATGCATTAACTGTATACAGAACTTCATTTGGGGAATGTGTTCTGGCCTAGTCCAGGTGATAGTGAATGATGTAATCCTGGGTTTGAGTTAAGTCAATGAGTTGGGAACCAATCAGAGATTGCTATGTGTAAATGTACAGAATTGTATATAAGGAAGTCATGTACAGTGTATTCTCTCTCCTTGTGCTGTGATGCTGTTCGTCGAAGGCTCTATGTAATTGATTAAAAGTACCTGTCTGCTAAGACAAGATATAACTGTGTGCTGTGGTAAGTTTGTAATGTCATCTAGACTAGGGGAAAACAATAGTAAAACTGACAATGGCCGGGCATGTGCTCAAGTATCTGTAAAAGAGTTCCAGAGTGACTGCAGTTTGTGGGAGCAGTTGACTGAAAATACTGTGCAGGAAGAAGCTACTGGAAAGCGCTGAAGTTGTGCAACTGATCTGCTGCTGAATTGTGAAATTAATCTCAACAAAACTTATTAGTATTTCAATGGAAAGTGTGGGCCTGCTTTTAGCTGATGAGATAGGATTGTTGCTATTGTTGTGTGTTTTCAAGTCATTTCAGACTTAGGTTAACCCTGAGCGAGGGCTGGGTAAATGACCTTGGAGGGCCGAATCCAGCCCGCAGGCCTTAGTTTGAGGACCCCTGCTTTAAATAATGCATTGTGTACATCATTTCTAGAATTTCTGCAATAATCCTGCTAGGCAATCTCCTGTTGCAGATGAGGAACTGAGACAAAAGGTGAATGAGTGACTTTGAATGAGGTTGTCTAAGCCCATCTAATGCACTTGCAGTTGCAGAGATGTTTCAACCCAGGATCACACTGTTAATACTCATTGACGTAGCACTATATCATTAGCACTCTGAAATGTTTTAACTATGTATCTTATTTATAGAGTTTGAGGAAAATATCATCTTTTTTTGTTTTGAGATTTTATGAAAGTACTAGGGTATTTAAATGGAATTGCCTGGGTTTGCATTTTCTTAGTGGCTTTCTTTTCTTCCTTTCTTTCCTACTTCCCTTGCTTTCCCTTATACAGCTCTCCTTCCTTCCTTCCTTCCTTCCTTCCTTTTCCCTACTTTTTTTCTTTCTTCTTTCCCTTTTTTCATCCTTTGTGCCTCTTCTTTTCTTTTTTCATTCTTCCTTTTTCCTTAAGTTCCTTCCCTCCTACCTTCCTCTCTTTCATTTGTCTTCTCTAATCTGCCCTTTTCTTGGAAGTCTCAGTGTTTCAACCTCAGAGCAAGAGGCACACACAGACACACACACACACAGAGCTTTCTAAGTATAAATCTTCATTACATTGCCACTAAATCTTCATTACATTGCCACTTTCTAAGTATAAATCATTCATTACATTGGGATGGATATCCAAACTGTAGACCCCAGGGCTGTGTGTTTTGTCTCATGTTGGACTAATGGGTTGGATGCAATTTTGTCTAGCAGTATCTAATTCTATCTATATATTGCCCTCATGTGGTTACACCTGAGTATTGCATGCATTACCTATAGGCCAGTAGCTAGCCAATCCTTTTTTATCTTCTATATACTCCTTTTTCGGGGTTGCATCTGAGCACTACATAGATATTATTTACTTCTGGTTTTTTTTGTAATTGAAATCCTATAATGATGTCAAGTTGAGTAACGAAGGTTATATGTGCCATGTTTGGTCCAGATCCATCACGCCATGTGGTACAAACAAACCAACGTACATGCATACATACATAAATACATACATTGACTTTTATCTAAAGAAATGTGAATTTCTTCATAAATTTGATGCGAAGAACTTTGAGCCTGGAAAAAGAAGCTGAGTGGAATAAAGAGAAGCTTTCCCCATTCAAGTAGTAATATGCTCACATATAGTCAAAATATTTGCTTGCTCAGGCATAGTAAACCGGCTGATATGAACTATTTTGTGGATTTACTGACCTTTGCTGTTGAAGTAAAGTATGTATTATTGTTTCCTTTTGCTACATATTATATTTTATATATTACCTTGGTATCATAAAATGAAAAGCAACATAAAAAATCTTTTGAAATCATTACTAATAAATAATCAACAATTTGGAAAGCACTTGATAATTATCATCACCTTTCTAGGGCTGCAGGGATGAAACATAACTGCATTGGTGGGTTGTTGTAGGTATTTTCGGGCTATATGGCCATGGTCTAGAGGCATTCTCTCCTGACGTTTCGCCTGCATCTATGGCAAGCATCCTCAGAGGTAGTGAGGTGACTACCTCTGAGGATGCTTGCCATAGATGCAGGTGAAACATCAGGAGAGAATGCCTCTAGACCATGGCCATATAGCCCGAAAAAACCTACAACAACCCAGTGATTCTGGGCATGAAAGCCTTCGACAATACATAAGTGCATTGGGTCCTTGGTATCCACTGTGTTTTATTTCCAGAACCCTCTATGGATACCATAATCCTAGGATGTCCAACTCTTATATACAATGGCACAGTAATGGGAAAATCAAGTTTTGCATTGTGGATTTTTTTTTTGGAGGGGGGTGGCTATTTTAAATCTGTAAATGGTTGAATCTGTGGATACAGGATCTGTGGATACAGAGGGCCAACTCTTGTTGAATGAATACTAAATTGCTGGAACCACTAGGACTCGTCCTCTTTTTTGTGGCATTCTCTCACTTTCTTTCCATTTAATTACCTTCGCTATCACATTACACAAAACAACGGAAAAGGGCAAAGCAAGCAGGCACCAAGTATTACCTTTGACAAGTGGATGAGATGGAGTCGTGCACCGCTGAAGTGGCCATGGCCGATGGCAGGCTCATCGGATGGGCAGCACTGTGAGCAGCAATAGCAGGATGATTGGATGAAGCAGACAGCACAGCGGAAGGGACACAGCTGGTAGACACTGGTGCATGCTCAACAGGAGTACTAGTTAAAGTTAAATTGGATAAAACAAGGGGCATCTTTAAAAGCTGTGTGCGAACAGTCCACAACCATTTTGTCTGGGTTCAAAAAGGTACACACAAAGACAGAAGCAAAATTACTTGAGTAATTTTGACGCAGAGCTTAAAGCGTAAAAATTGAGGTTTGTTAGATTTTGGTCACAATTAAAGCTCAGATGAAATTACTCAACAGATCTTTTTGCATACAGCTCTATATGTGTAAACAAACAATTCCATAAAGAAATGTTGATGTGACTGAACAGATGGGACATGGGACATATATACAACCGCCTTGTTGGAAAATGTCACACCATTCTTCCGTACTCTTACAGATCTGGCTATTCTTTAAAGAAGAATTGTACAAAAATGTGACAAGAAGTGAAAGAATAATGAGGGAACGGAACAAACATGTGTACGAGATAGGCTTGTTTGATCCAAAAACAAAATGGTTCAAAACTCGTTTCAGATGTAGGGGGCACTAGTGATTCAATTCTAAAGTCAATTCCGATTTTCACAGAAAAAAATGATCAAAACTTTTTGAAACTTCCAAGACTTCCTAATCCTTCCTTAATGGTTTGAAAGTGTTATTTCCTGTTTCATTGGGAGGTCTTTACTTTTGAAAGTAGTTGTTTTACTCCAGAAGCGGGGGGGGGGGGGGGGGGAAAGGGGGAAATTCATCCACTCTGGTTTAAAATGGCTTTCCAGGCTTGAGACACAAGCGGGGGGAGAGGAAAGGGAGGAAATTCATCCACTCTGGTTTAAAACGGCCTTCCAAGCTTGAGACACAAGCGGGGGGAGAGGAAAGGGAGGAAATTCATCCACTCTGGTTTAAAACGGCCTTCCAAGCTTGAGACACAAGCGAGGGGAGAGGAAAGGGAGGAAATTCATCCACTCTGGTTTAAAACGGCCTTCCAGGCTTGAGACACAAGCAGGAAGAGAGGAAAGGGAGGAAATTCATCCACTCTGGCTTAAAACAGCTTATCTGGCTTTAGACGAGGCCAAGGACCAGAAGCGGGGAAAAGCAGAATAATTTCAGACTCTCTGCTTCGTAACAGAAATAGCGTAAAAAGCTTCAGAAGGGCAAAGGGACTTCCAGTTTCTTTAAAAACTTTGAAATTGCTTCAAAAAGCAAATCTTTCCAAATTTATTCTGAATTACGAAGATTCCGACTGATCCTAACCATTCCTAGTATGAGACTATTTCTATGTGTAAAACCATGTTGAAGCCTAAGGGCCTCATTACAAAGGCCAGGTCCCTCTTCGCCTGTCTTCAGACAGAAAAGAGAGGGGCACTGGGGCAAATCTGTCACCACGTGCACAGCTTCCTCTCAGCAATGCTTTCTCCATCACACGGGGGGGGGGGGGAGGAATTGCCCTTCTGCAGAGGACCTGAGCTGGTTCCATTGGAGCCAGCACAACATAGGAAGCTTCCCATGTTGTGGGGGAAGCCTTCAGTGATGTTTTCACCTCGGTTGCGGTGGGGGCCCCGACTGGAAGTCACACGTGGGGCTCTGTCCAGTAGACTGAGTGAAAGCATCCCAAGATTAATGATAATGAAGGCTGATAGCTATCATTCAAGAACATCTGGGAGACCGCTAGGTTATGAAAGAGTGCTATAGAAAATGAATACTGCTAAACTGTGTTTGTCACAACTGTGGCACAGAAGACACTGCATAGGGGCAAGAGCCCATGGTTATCTTCATATGTCCTAATGGATGTTTTGCTCTTGAGATAACCTTCAGAAGGACTTGGATGGGAAACATGGACTTTTAGTTGTGTAACTAACTCCCCTACACTAGCTGGTGAACAAAAACACTTATTCACCATCCTGGAATATGCTGCTAGCTCTGTATGATTTGGGGGATCTTCTAACTTCTTGGTTTTAGGTTCCCAGCCAGTCAGGGACCATATAATTCACACACTGACATTACATTCCAATATGCTGAATCTGATTTTGCTATGTGATGATATGCAGAAGACAAATGATGCCCTCCCAATGCTTCTCATGGTGAAATAATCAGGTTATATTTCATGTCTTGTTCTGAACACTGGCAACTAAATGCTGCACCAGCATTGCACAGCAAAATAAGGCTGTAATCATAGCGAAGCATAATCAGTTTGATCAAAATATGAACAGGTATGCTATTTTAAATGTCTTCCGTTAAGTACCATTTTAGATATTCAAGTTATCATAATTTCCAGAAACCTGTCAAAGTTACCATTTTGATTGTCACCCCCACAAACAATTTTGCCATTTTCATGAATCCCAAATATATTCTTTTTTGACTTAGAACTATATTTTCAGATACAACAAACACATTCATTATGAGCTCAGGACTTGATGGATAAATTAAACACATAGTCTTACATCATGGATGAGCAACCAACAAGCTCCATGACAGTACCAAATCAAGCTCCATGACAGTACCACCTGTTTCTCAATATGTCAACAGAAAGGTAAAGAAGAAAACTGCAGACAAGGTGTTAAATGATAATACATTTGAAAGGTTGGTGGGAGGGCTTTTCACCTCTCTCTCCAAGAAGCCCACAAGTAAGTCTAGATGGTCAGTGAGATTGTATCATTATAGCCTTAGATATTTTCTCCTACATGATCTGGACAGCTCTAGATCATGTATGGCCTCTGAATCAACCAGGTCCTAACATTACTTTTAGGAAATCTTTCTCCCAGCAACCCTTTGCAATAGAACATTATCATATTCCAGAGGATTTGTAGAGAATGATTTAGGTCAGTGGTTCTTAAGCCTTGGCCCTCCTGATGTTTTGGAATTTAGCTTCCTATAATCTCAGCTGGCATGGCCAATGGTCAAGGATTTTGGATATTGGTCCTCCTGATGGGATAATATGTTGAGAATCATTGTTTGAAATTGCCCTTGTTGCCTGGGCCTGCGAGACAGTGTTTGTGTGAGAGAGAGACAGAGTGAGTCAGAGAGGGAGAAAGAGAAAGAGGGAGCAGTAGAAGAAATAATGTGAAAATCACAGAGGAATCAAAGAAATTGCTTTCCAATACTTCCAACTAAAGGTGTTGAATAGAATAGAATAAAATAGCTTTATTGTTGTGCTATTTTGAGTTTGTAGCTCTCTTTGAGCAGATACTAAATATACTTCTCCAGCATAAATCAGCTGGCTCTCCACATTTGGGGTGAGGGGGTTAGGGGCACAGGAATCATGTGAGCATCCATACTCATGTCCTTTAGGAAGGAATTGAAAACTTGGCAAAAGGTAGGAATTCTTAATAACCACCAAATGGATTATATGGCTTTTCTTAGTGCCATGGTTCAAACTCTAAATGTTGTTCAAATTGTTTTATATAATTGCTTATTGATGCACTGGTTGTATTGTGTTAATTTTGTGATTGTTTTAAATTTGAAATGTTACTTATTTTGTTTGATGGTATCTACTATGTTTTCATAACTGTAAGCCGCTCCGAGTCCCTTGTTGGGAAATGGGGCATGGCATAAAGATATTATTATTACTATTATTATTATTATTATTATTATTATTATTGACACAAAAGCACAGTATGTCACAGCAAACGAGATCTATATGCTGGATTTCGTATCACAAAATCACAAGTCGAACACTTCCCAAGTGTCTAGGACTGTGTGATGTATTTTCGAATGATGCGTGCAGATCCAAGTAAGGTGGCCTTTTGCAGTTGACAGATCGTGATTTTGTCAATGTTTATTGTTTCCAAATTATTATTATTATTATTATTATTATTATTATTATTATTATTATTATTATTATTATTATGGAAAATCAGTGGGGGTAGCACTCCTTGGTTTGATCCTCAGATGATCAGCCATCTTCCTGCTTACCTCCTGAGGACAGGGTTACTGTTTTAATGTTCACAGGAGAGTCTCATCTTTGTGAGGCGGGCATGACAATGGCAGTGATCTGTCACCCACCTTCTGAGGATGTGGCTGTGTGAATGCGTACATGACCCTGTTTGAGTGGTCCTCTGGACAGGACAGCAGGAGTGGGGAGAAGTAGGGGTGAAGAAAGGAAGTTGAGCTAGTTAAGGAGTGAGTACAAGCTGGCAAATAATAATAATAACGATGAATGTAAAGCCCGCCAATGTAGAAAGTTAACTGTACTTGAATTGATTTTATGCCCTTAGTATTGGGACTCAGCCTGTGTGTGAACCTGAGTCTGAATCTCTTATTGTATTGCCTAATGCTGATGCCAATGTTGATGTTAATGTTGTTGGGCCTAGTTTGGATAGTGAAGCTGAAGCATTCAATGAGGACGAGGCTCAAGATGGAGACATTTTGGGCAGTAAAAATCCTACAGGCTTTGATTTAGAGGCTTCAAGGGAAAAGCAAAGTTCTCATGAGAAAGTTTCTGTCACACCGAGAGAAAAAAAATCGCTCCCTTTTCCTCCTGGCCCGAGCTTGCAAGATAACTTGACACCTGGTCGGGTCAATGATAACAGCCGTAGCTTGGAGATAAGCCAGAACTACAGGGGGGCTCAATGTTTATGTAGGTCCGAGAGAATCCGACAATTGAAACCAAAGATTAGAATTAGCCAGAATCAGTTTTTGGGATTTAAGAGTGCCCGTGAGGGGGATTTCCTCATACCAAGCATCATTTAGTATCAAGTACAAACCTCCTGGGTTTTCCAGTTTCCAGTGGTCTGGTCTCTAAGGGAATTTCTGGCTTCAAGTGAGATTAGCTGGGGGCTAATCTGTTCATGGATTTCTAGTGAGAGTTGTTTGGACATTACCGCTTTGGATTTTCTGCAAGCTTTCTAGACGTTGCTGTTTGCTGTTTTATTTGGGCTTCAATCTATTTCATATTCATCTTTCAATATAAAGGATTGTATTTTTCCTAAACCAAGGTATGGTGTATTAATGACAAGAGGGTCCTGTTTCCAGCTCTGGAGTGCAACACTTAGTTATGTTGAATAATTATTTTGTGTATGAGGGATCTATCATCTGCAGAATTATATTCCAGAAAATGTGAAATAAACAAATAAACAAATCCTGTTGAGCAGAAAGATGTTATTTTCTAAAAATCCTTTCCCTATTTCACAGGAAGTAAAATCTTTATCACTCATTCAGTGTATTGATCTTAAAAGCAGCATATTGCTATTTACAAATACTGTCAAATATGGACAACGATCTCTGGACTGTGATTTCAACTCGAGACATATGGGATTATTATTGGTGGCCCAATAATTTGTTATTGTATGTGTATATGTTTTAAATTGGAGATTGTTTTTAATCTGCTGTAAACCGCAATTGAGTCGCCGATCCTGGCTGAGAAATTAGCGGTATACAAGTGTACCAAATAAATAAATATCCTGGGTTGTGATATGGGGCTGAGACATTTTGTAGAATTTTAAATCCAAAGTGCACACACATGAATACAACCACAGTCAAAATTCAAATACTGTAACTTGCTGAGCATCAGAAAACAGTACTAGAACGCTTTGATATCCAAAAGGCAATTACAAAATCAGTATAAAACCACCTTTAATAAAGAAACAAGAAAGCATTTATATTACTATTGCTGAACTATAATTTGCAAATATCACTATGTAATAATTTAATGTTTTATGTGGCAGATGTAAACAGTTGTCCTATCCTTCAGTGGCAACCACATGCCACATTACTTACACAGAAAAAGGTTTAAGAATCAGGTATTTGGATTCCACCCTACCATTTGGTTTTGTCTATAAGTAGGCCAGATCTCATAGCCACTGTTTTTATGACTGCAACCCCACTGATGATCTCATGGGTGAAGGAACCATCACAGATCTAACGCCAGAGATATCTGAATCACCAAATATTGCCTGAGTCCCAAGTTTCCAGTAGAATGTTACATGGTCTGGATTCACACTGTTGTATAATCTAGTATAAGTTTTTTTTGTCGTGTCAGGAGCGACTTGAGAAACTGCAAGTTGCTTCTGTTGTGAGAGAATTGACCATCTGCAAGGACGTTGCCCAGGGGGCACCTGGATGTTTTGATGTTTTTATCATCCTTGTGGGAGGCTTCTCTCATGTCCCCGCATGAGGAGCTGGAGCTGATAGAGGGAGCTCATCCGCCTCTCCCCGGATTCGAACCTGTGGCCTGTTGGTCTTCAGTCCTGCTGGCACAGGGGTTTAACCCACTGCGCCACCGGGGGCTCCATCTAGTATAAGTCACGAAGAGTCGGAAATGACTGAACAAATGAATAACAACAATAATCTAGTATCTGATCCCAGATTATCTGCTTTGAACTGGATTATTTGAGTCTATACTGCCATCCAAATCAGATAATCTCGGATCAGATACTGGATTATATGGCAGGGTAGAAGGGACCATAGTTATTTATAACCTATCAAATACTATGTAAAAGAGAAATTATTTAATATGCAGGTTTATGTGAACTATACAAATACTTTGATGTGTCCTTTTGGTTCAACCATCTTATTAGGTTTCAGATTTGTTTGGGGAAATCTAAGGCTGGATCGACACTACTGCATAATGTAGTTTGAAACTACATTGTATAGCAGTGTCGCTCCAGCCTAAACCTTTACGCATTTAGCATCATACAGATGAACACAATACAAATTAAATTCCATTCAAGGTAATGCCTTACTGATGAAATACACATATAGGCTGATTGTAAAGCTTTGATACACTCCTATAAAGAATTAAACAATCTGGCAGATGTTAAATTATTTTAAAACTGTTATAAAATGCACAAAACCCACATTAAAATCTTTAAGATATATATGGATAGCAGTGCTCACATAGAGAATAACAATTGGTCAGATTGTGGTTCTTTGCACAACCTCCCCCCACTAACAAACACAAGTTATGATTACTCTCTTTTAGGAAATGTACAAAACTTGCATATTTTCACCTGTACCATGAGTAGATTTTAGAATCTGGAAACAAAGGCACACAGTAACTGCAGGATAAATGCTGATTTAGAGCTAATTTGGAAATGCTTTTCATCTTTGAAGCTGAATTCTGTTTCATTGGCATTTATTCCAAGATATATAAGGATTAATCTAGAATTTAATTGCCTACATTGGTCACAGTTGCAGTGTACAATGATTTCACTAAGCAAATTTCAAAAATTCCTTGCAGCTATGGCAAATGTAACACATGTTTCTGTATTCAGTGGCATAAAATATTTGTTACATGAATCCCAAAAACTGAGATGAGAAATAAAAGTTCAGTAGTATAAGTTCAGTACTAATCCTCATGTTGGCTGGAGATAATGGGTCTTACTATGCCAGGTTGGGAGAGGATAATCTGCTCATTGTCATGGTAAGGAGGTTCTACTGAAAAAATTCATACATCTTTAGTTCATGATGTTCTGCAAGCTTTTGAGCAAATCCTTGACCAAATGGGTGAATACTTTTGGAATTAGTTTTTCATTGAAGCAACTCTTCAATAAGCAACATATGGCTTCTGCCTTTGGATTCAACCCACAACTTAAGGATTTACCCTTCAGGTAAACTTGGAGATCTCAATATTGAAAAGCATAGTATTTGTTGTAGAGCACAATTGTGAGATACGAATGGAAGAAATGTGTGCCAAATGTGGTTGAATTTCACAGGAGCAGTTTAACGAATTGCATATCAACAGCATTGCAAAACCCAACAAAGAGTGAAATGGGGAAATGGATATAGATACTCCAATTACCTAAATTTTATCTGTGAATAATTCAGTATTAAAGGAGAAGCATTCTATTACATGGCAAAAATTATTTTAGAAAAAATAAAATAGTATCTCTAGTTGATTTATGCTTGACATTTTGATATCCATCCTGACCTTTAGGAAGCTAGTGAAAACCTGGCTGTGGAACAAAGCTTTTGTGGAATGATGTCTGAGACCGGCAATCGACCAAAATTACTGACCACAATATATGGACAGAGTTGGACACGATTTTATCTTGGTGAGCGGCTTTTATGTAATTTATCCTATATACATCATATTTGGTAATATAATGTATTATGTTTTAGATTTTTAGTGTTAGCATTGAATATTTGCTGTCGGCCAGTCTGAGTCCCTCTGCGGAGGTAGAGAAGATCGGGATATAAAAGTTTTAAATAAATAAAAAATAAATAAAACAGGTATTCACCTAGATCACAACATTCTACATCAGTGGTTCTCAACCTGTGGGACCCCAGGTGTTTTGGCCTACAACTCCCATAAATCCCAGCCTGTTTACCAGCTGTTAGGATTTCTAGGGACCCACAGGTTGATAATCATTGTTCTAGAACTATAGACACCTTTACATATGTGAGATAAAATTTCAAAGTAAATTAAACCAGCAATCATGATCAGTATGTATTGTCCAGGAACTAAAAAAATAAATGTCCATCAGTCCAGGATGAAGGAAGGATAACTTAAACTCCAATGGGTTGTTGTAGGTTTTTCCGGGCTATATGGCCATGTTCTAGAGGCATTTTCTCCTGACGTTTCGCCTGCATCTATGGCAAGCATCCTCAGAGGTAGTGAGGTCTGTTGGAACTAGGAAAATGGGTTTATATATCTGTGGAATGACCAGGGTGGGACAAAGGACTCTTGTCTGCTGGAGCTAGGTGTGAATGTTTCAACTGACCACCTTGATTAGCATTTAATGGCTTGGAAGTGCCTGGGGGGAATCTTTTGTTGAGAGTGATTTGATGTGCCTGATTGTTTACTCTCTGTTGTTTTGCTGTTGTAATTTTTGAGTTTTTTAATACTGGTAGCCAGATTTTGTTCATTTTCATGGTTTCCTCCTTTCTGTTGAAATTGTCCACATGCTTGTGGATTTCAATGGCTTCTCTGTGTAGTCTGACATGGTGGTTGTGAGAGTAGTCCAGCATTTCTGTGTTCTCAAATAAAATGCTGTGTCCAGGTTGGTTCATCAGGTGCTCTGCTATGGCTGATTTCTCTGGTTGAAGTAGTCTGCAGTGCCTTTCATGTTCCTTGATTCGTGTTTGGGCAATGCTGCGTTTGGTGGTCCCTATGTAGACTTGCTCCACACCTAGCTGCAGCAGACAAGAGTCCTTTGTCCCACCCTGGTCATTCCACAGATATATAAACCCATTTTCCTACTTCCAACAGACCTCACTACCTCTGAGGATGCTTGCCATAGATGTAGGTGAAACGTCAGGAGAAAATGCTTCAAGAACATGGCCATATAGCCCGGAAAAACCTACAACAACCCAGTGATTCCGGCCATGAAAGCCTTCGACAATACATTAAACTCCAATGTTAAAAGAACATAATAATTCACTAGATGCCACTATTTACTAGATGAATCATAAGGGACTATGAAACAATCTCCTGTAACAAATAGGGGTGTCAAATATTCAGCACACATTACCTGTTTTCGGATGATTCAGCAACATTTTTCTTGCCGCTGTGGAAGGAGGGGGATACAATATGAATAAAACCAGCAAATGTTCCCATAGTGAGGGAAGCATTGATCTGTGCAAAAATTCATGACCAGTTTGAGAAGCTGACAAAGCAGAGGGCTTGCTGGCATCATCCATTCACAGAAGAGAGACCCATTAAGAAAATCTGAAGTGAGTTTAAAAACAGCACCTATTTGTGTTTCTACTCAGACATAATTTTACTGAAGTGGTGATGTACTTTCATTCTATTGTCCCACTTTGATAGGAGATAGTTTATCATCATGCTTCCCATTTTCCAGAATTTGAATAATAGTGGTAATCCATATAGAGCTAAACTCTAGCTATCAGATGGTGAACAATGGGACAAGGCAGGGAATGCTCCTAATTGGGGACCACATATGTTCTTGGAATCCAGATAGTGAATGTTTTGTTTCTTGTTCGGGATATTATCTTTAATCATTCAAGTATTATCAATGTGTTTTTAAACCATGTGCTTTACAGATGTAAGCACATTTTAATTTTTAAAACATTTAAAAAATATATAGGTCAAAAATGGGCAAGTGCCAGAGGTTGAATAACCACATCATCCTTGGGAAGACCCTACAGAATTACAGCCCCATTTAAGGGACACATCTCATGTGTCTCCAAACCCTTGGTTGTTGTTGTTGTTGTTGTTGTTGTTTTAAAACAAATGCACATGGGGAGACTGAGATGATTTTTCCTTTGTTTTTGAGAGCTTCTGAACTATTTTAGCCTGGGAACAGGGCTTTATTTAACAAAAAGAAAAAAAAGAGTCTCTTTGCAGGCTTAAATAGTCAAATGGAGACCCAAGACATGATGATTTTACCCTATGAGTTGTTTAATTATTTATTTACTTACTATATTTCTATACCGCCATTCTCAGCCCAGGGGCAGGCACCGGGGGGGGGGTGCTTGAGGGGCTTCAGCCCCCCCCCCCCGAAATTCTCATGGTGGTCCGCGAGAAGGCCTTACTGGTACATTATTTAAACTGTTATGTTTATTCATATCATGATCTGATCACCATGCTCAATATATCCCATATGTATGGGGGTATTGGGGTAAATACAAAAGGTTTGCTAGGGTAGACCCTCTTTCACTCAGACTCAGCCCCCCCCCCCCCCCGAATCAAAATCCTTGCTACGGGCCTGCCCAGGGGCAACTCATAGCGGTCTACAGAACGGCACAATTTGATGCCCATAACAATATAAAAATAGCTAAAACATTTAAACATAGATAAAAATTCACTACATAATAACATCAATAAAAACATCATAAAACAATAAATCCTCCACATTTCATTACCAAATCATTATCCAGTTGCATTGTCCAGCCATCCTGAGATCGGGGTTTATCTGCTACACTGCATTTGGGAAAACCTGCTCAAATAGCCAGGTTTTGACTCTTTTACGAAATGTTAAAAGGGTGGGGGCCGATCTAATGTACATGGAGAGGGCACTTCACATCCGAAGGGCCACCGCTGAGAAGGCCCTGTCTCTTGTCCCTGCCAGCCGAACTTCTGAAGATGGCAGGACTGAGAGCAAAGCCTCCCCAGAAGATCTTAAATGCCTAGATGGTTCGTAAGGAGAGATATGTTTGGACAGATAGGCAGGGCCGGAACTGTTTAGGGCTTTATAGGCTTAAACCCAGCACTTTGAGTTGTTGGGGTTGTTGTGAATTTTTTTTTCTAAAAAAATGAAAGAAACAGGAGGGCAGAAGTCCTGGAAGGCCTGAATGCAGCTTATGGGCAGCACTTTACTTGCCCCTAATTTAGATCTTTGGTTTCAATAATTGTAATCCTTTCAAAAAACAGACATTCTTTTTTCAATGATAGAATACTTTTGCAAAGATCATTTATCCAGCACATGAAGTAAACTATTCTCAGTTCAGACTCACCTCTTGCAAAATTCACATCCTGATTTTTATGTGCATTTTCTGCATATAAAATAGTATTTTCATCACACAAAATAGTTTTTCTGTGCAGAAATGCAAAGCTGCTAACAGCTGTGAGAAACCCTAATTAGATTCCAGGGGGACTATGCCCAACTGGGTACACAATTGCCATTTCTTTCTGATTTACTGGGTTGCCCCCAACTTCTCACTTTTTCTGGATTACTGCAATGCACTCTACATGGGGCTGCCCTTGAAAATGGCCCAGAAATTTCAGATGATCCAACGGGCAGCAGCCAGGTTGTTAACTGGGGCTCCTTACAGGGAGCGGTCAACCCTCCTGTTCAAGGAGCTCCACTGGCTGCCGTTTACCTACCCAATTCAAGGTGCAGGTGCTTACCTACAAAACCCTAAACAGTTTGGGACCTGCCTACCTGCGTGACCGCATCTCCGTCTATGAACCCACGCGCTCACTTCGATCATCCGGAGAGGCCCTGCTCTCGATCCCACCAGCATCGCAGGCGCGATTGGTGGGGACGAGAGAGGGCCTTTTCAGTGGTGGCCCCTTGACTCTGGAACTCACTCCCTAAAGACATCAGAGGCCCCAAATCTGGCAGTTTTCAGGAGGAGCTTGAAGACGTGGTTGTTCCAGTGTGCCTTCCCGGATTAATGATCCCATAGCACTTTGTCCCTCTAAAGCACTTTACATTTTTTAGGTCTGCCCATATGTCTCTCCACAAACGCCACTATCACCTGTTCGTCCATGTTCAGTACTATTTCCAATTTTAATTTTACATGTGGCCTTCCCATAGTTTTAATTGTATGTTGTCTTATTGATAATGTTATATGTTTATGTTTTATTTTAATTGCTTCTATTGTTGTGATTATTGCTTGTATTATGTGTTTTGTTCGGCCTCGGCCTCATGTAAGCCGCACCGAGTCCCTTGGGGAGATGGTAGCTAGGTACAAATAAAGTATTATTATTATTATTATTATTATTATTATTATTATTATTTTCTTAGAAATAAAATTAAACATAAAAATTCTGTTTTGAGGCTCTGATGCAATGGCTCTTTTTCAGGCTTTGATGACAATATACAATGAAGCATAAATATATAATGATGTGATCTCCCTCTTATTTGAAAGCACTTTCAGTTTGATTCACCAAAGGCACAAAGGAGAAGGAATTTTAGAAATGCTGAAATCTGAAACATTTGCAGTCTTCCCATTAGCTAGACATTTGTATTTTGAAGCTTGTTGGGAAAGTTCCTATTCTAGCATAGGAAGTGTACTTTGCCCTCTGTATCCACAGATTTCATGTCCATGGATTCAACCATCCATGACTTGAAAATACCTTTCAAAAAATTGCAAAAGCAATACTTGATTTTGTCCTATACATAATGAAAATTGAGCACCCACAGATTTTTGGTTTCCATGCGGGTCACTAGAATCAACTCCATGGATACAGAGGGCCAATGTTCCTATGTTCTATGAGAGCAAGGAATTTATCATTTTTAAAATATTAACTCATTCATTGGGACTTCTTTTGAAATAGTTTGGAATTTATGTTCAAGGCAGACATACGAGGGGTATTTTTTTAAGTAAGGTCCGTTTTGTTGTAGACACTAGCACTTCGTGCGCACACCGCAACGAGCGTTGTGTACTGGCATGCCTTGGGAACAACTGTGCTCGGTTTCCGCTCTGTAGCTAGCCTGTACGGTTCTGTTCTGTGCTTTAAAAATGTTTAAGACAATCAACTCACCCTCCGCATGTGAGGTTCGCTCAGTGATACGGTTTTTGTCAGCAAGGAACCTGCCTGCTGCAGAAATTCATCGACAGATTTGTGAAGTGTACGGTGATACTGTTATGAGTGAAAGCAAAGTGCGTAAGTGGGTACGACAATTCAAAGATGGCCGTGACAACATCCATGATGAGGACTGCTCCGGTCGCCCTTCTTTGATTACAGACGATTTGGTGGCTTCAGTTGAAGCGAGCGAACCTCACATGCGGAGGGTGAGTTGATAGTCTTAAACATTTTTAAAGCACAGAACAGAACCGTACAGGTTAGCTACAGAGCGGAAACTGAGCACAGTTGTTCCCGAGGCATGCCGGTACACAACGCACGCGCTCGTTGCAGTATGCGCGCAAACTTCTAGTGTGTACAACAAAACGGACCTTACTTAAAAAATACCCCTCGTATTAACCAGCCTTGGACCCTTGAGAAAGGAAATGTGAACCCATAATACCTCTTCTCTGTTGTAGAGACAAAATAACCTACACATAATATAGTTCACAGTGGACATGCCAAATATTGATTCATTTGTAAGATTCTATACAGAGCAGTGATCAGACTAAAAGAGGTGCTCAGTGGTGCCTGAGTGCGTGCATTAGAAAACTAGTCTGTGAATGAAAAAAAGTGTTAAAATAATATAGCAAGAACCAAAGGGCATGCAAGTACTAAAAGTATCACCCCCATTCAGCTTGAAAAAATTGAAGCATAGTTTATTTCCAATGTAGCCAAATTTACAGCAAATAAAGCAAATGATCCAGACCAAAGACAAGACCAAAGATTAGGCTTCTAGCAGCATCAGGCCTCTAAAGTTATTTTGAAAAAGAAAAAAAAGTGTAGATTATACTAACCAAAACTTGGATTCTATTAATTTCCTATTTTTCCTATTCTAATATATGAGGGTTTTTTTTTTTGCATTACCCTGTGACAAAGGTCATAGGGAACCAATCTGAATTCCATACTTCCATAGCCAATTTTTGATTTGATCTTCGCCCATATTTTTTTCTGGAGCAATGTTTTTACCCAGTTCACCCTTACTTTGCAGCAAGCTGCTCCAGAAGGGTAGATACCCATAACCGATCCTTGGAAAAATTACTTATTTTACTACAGTATCTAGAATACTTATGGGTCATGAGAAATTCTGAGAAGTATAGCCAAAAATGTAACATTCCTGAAGAGATATTAATTTTTACTAATTTCATTCTTGAGGAAGCAATAAATAATTTTCTTTCTGTAAGAATGTCTTTAAAATTATAGATTCTGAAGGCAATTCACAACGTTATTCTGTGCGAAATCCAAAATGCTATT